GGGGGCACGGTAGAGACCACTTAGTAGTAGCGAGGGTTATAAACCCACGCTACTATTATCAACTTAGTAGTAGCAGGCGGTATAAACACGTGCTACTAGTAAGCGTCTACCTATAAGCTTTTCCCTATTAGTGCTTATTTTGCACTTATGGCACTGTTTAAAGGCTTATATGCGTAGATGGTGTATCCCCCCGCCGAACTAATGGGACGACCCATGTATACCGCACAACCCCTATTTTTTTTTTCCGGTTTTGGAGCTGCTAAGCTAGTTTTTTCTTTTGCTGGTCTCTTATGTTTGTTTGGCCGATTTTTCTTTGGGATTTTTAAATTCTTTTCTAATTATTGCTTTAACATTTTTGAAGAGCATGAACATTTTTTCAATTGGTAAACCTTTTTCAAGTTCGTGTACATTTTTCATATCCATGACCACTTTTTTTTCAATTTCATGAACTTTTTCAGCCTTGCAATCGTTTTTCAAATCCTTGAACATTTTATTCAAGTTCGTGATTTGTTTTCAAATTTGTAAACCTTTCTCAAATTCCTAAATATTTTTTCAATTGGTGAACTTTTTTTTTCCAATTTGTGATTATTTTTTAAACGTGCGAACTTTTTTCAAATCCATAAACTTGCGTCAAGTTCATGGTATTCTTAAAATTTCAAGTACTTTATTGAACCCATGAACTTGTTTCGGAAAAGTCAGCGTGTTAATAGGCAATGTCAAAAGTAAGGTCATCGCTGAAGGTCGACGGTCGATCTAGTGAGCGAGACCGTGCGAGAGCGCATTGTTTGGTCAGTCATAATCTGTTTTCAAATAGGAGAACATTTTTTAATTCCTCATACATTTATGAATCTGCTAAATTTTGTTCATTTTTAAAATACTTTCAAATTCGTGCATAGTTTTTGCAAATTCTCGAAGGATTTTAAAATCCATTAACATTTTTTAAATTCATGGAATTTTTCAAATCCTCAAACTTTTTTCAAATTTGTGACCTTTTTCAAACCCAACAACACTGTTTTTCAAACCTGTGAACACTATTTATGATTTTTATTAGACTTCAATAAAAAAAGTCAAATTCATGATTTTTTAAATGCCTAGAACATTATCTTCTGTTCTTAAATGCTTGCAACTCACTACCTATTTTTCCTCTTCATGCAACTATACCACATCATCAAGTCATGCATATGGTCATAAATTACAATTTATGCACTAATCTATTCATGCAACCATGCCAGTTCGTCAACCATGCATGTTAATTTGTTTCACTTACTTTTGTGCGGGCATAAACGGTCATGTTACACATTTTTGTAGCATGATCTACATATACTTGTATGTTGTAGCAAATATATGTTGGTCAGGTTGCACATTTTTGTTAAAAAATGGCACCCCGTTTGACTTCAATCCAATAGATTTCTCTTTTTATACAACATTTTGTCACATGCTTGCTTCATAGTATAATTTATTGTTTTGAAAATATATATATCATGAGGGTATTCTTAATTAGTTTTTATAATATTTTTAGTTTTCTAACTTCTATTTATGCATCTTTTACCAAGGTCCCCGCAGCAACACGCGGGGCATCATCTAGTTTACTGAAAAAATCGACCAGATTGTTTTTCTAAGAAATAACATACATACTGGCTACTGCAGCAAAATAGGAGCAAAAAAAAGAAAAGAAAAACAAGCGAGCGCAGAATGAGCCGGTCGCGAGCGGGAGCCGTCGAGCGTTACAGGCCGGGCCCATGTGGGCGACGCAAGCCCGATACGCGGGAGAGGAGGCGTTAGGTTTTCCGAGCGGCCGCCAACTCCCCTCCGGGTTCATTTCGCCTCACACGCAGCTGGCTCCGCCGCCGCACCGCGAAGCCGGAAGCCGGAAGCCAGAGGCGGTGGCCGCGCACGGCACAGCCCGACCCCGCCACCGCTAGAGGTTAGTTCGACGAAAGTCTTCATCTCTCCCCGCATGGGCGACCACTTACTCCCTCCAAGCCCCCTTTGTTTCTCCGCTCGCTGACGAGGGTTTTGCTGCAACAGGGATCCGCGCGACCAGCCCCGGCTCTCACACTGCTCGCACGCCGGAGACGACGAGATCTTCACCCCACGCTGCCTAGACCGGCGGTCCACTCCTCGCCTCTTTTCCTCAGTTCTCCCTCGCCGAAGGTACCAAATCTCTCTTTTTCTCTCTCAATCTATACTGCTACCGGCAATGACATGCTACAGGAGTAACAGGACCCTCGATTATTTCCGTTTGGTGATAGGATTTCGCCAAATTAATACGATGGATGCTGCTGCCGCTGCTGATGCCGCCGCCGCTGCTGCTGCCGCTGCTGATCCCACGCTGGTGCGTGTTTGTTTCAAATTGTCAATGATCCCACCCTTTTGTTTTCAAAGTTTATTCGAGTTTTGAGGAGAATGTGTTGCTTTTTTCAGGATTTTGACCCAGATGAACTCAGAGCTGTCTATGAAAGTACCTCACCTTACATAGCGGGGTTTTTTCCGTCTTCTCCAGGAGTCATTGTTATGTCAACCAACAGACATGATGTGGTTGCTGTTCACTCAGAGTTGATTAGCGATGACCCTGAATACCTTCCTAAAATAGTTCGGTATTATTCTAATAATACCGAAGCTCGTGTTGACGCAGTGGCAAAACTTCCTGCTGATGTTACAGTCTTGTTTGCAAAGCGCAAGGGTGAGCGATTGCCTGACATTGGATTTTCAAACCTGGATCCCCAAGAAGGTGTGTCTGAGAAAGTGGTGACATTTTTCCCATACATGGACACAGTGGCTATGTTCAAGGGACACATTGGGTACGTATTATAACTAAACACACTGTTTGGATGGTCTTCATGGTAAGACTAACCTGTTGCCTTTTCAGGTTAAGGAATGCCACATCCAGGGACGTGAGGGCACCAGAGCAGGAGGTTCAGCCATCATCCATCAACACATTCACCTTTACTGCCCCGTATGCATCCGTTAGCTTCAGGAAAGATGGTAATGAGCATGATCCTGATCTACTGGAGACACGCTTAATGACTCTTGGCGCTCCTGTGTTCAACTTAAATGGCCAGATTGTAGGTATATTGAGTGATGTCGGTATTGATTGTAGTCTGAAATTTGCGAGGAAAGCAGTATACTTAGGTGAAGTCCGTTCACAACTGCGGGGCGAGCAAGTCAATTGGCTGAAGGTGACTTCCGTAAAGCTATGTATTTAATATCTGAAGATCGTGAAGTGAATTTGGTTCTAACAATATTGACCTAATGTAATTTGCAGGGGGAAGAGAAGGTGAGACGTGGTTTGTGAGGGACCCTAAAATCTGAAGATACCAGTAGTTGAATGTGTCGGAAGATGCAAGTTAACCTTTTTTTTTTATCTCTCTTCTGTTTACTTGCGAGGATCAGTGCCGTCATGGCGAGATGCCTGAAACTTTGGAACAGTTCTTGCTTTTTGGTATGGTCTTGGAAGGTAATCTTAACCTCTGAAAAGTTGTAACTTGGAGGCAGTACCTTTATGTTGGTGTTGCACAAGTATCTCCTTGTGAGATTTTCTGAGAGGTAGTTGTAGATTGGGATGTAAGTGACTGTGTGTGCTGCATCCCTTTCTTCCATTTTGACAACAATTTTTTGTATTTAAATCTTATATAAATATATGGTGTCAAACTGTGATTTGTCAATTGTCTTCATGGTCGTTACGCTGTGGCGTCTCTTTGTTTCTTCTAGGCTGTTTTCTGAGAGTATTGTGTTTTGGTTTTCATGTATCACCCATTTTGAACAATTGGTGCATGGTTGGTGTGGTTGTGCGTGGAGTTGGATCCATCTTGTGAGAGTTGAGGGGTAGTACATCAGTTTGACTGCAAGCATGCATGCGTCGTTGACATCAAGTAGTTTGAAACTGTTGGGGCAAGATGCAAGTGTTCTGGTTCTTTGACATCTTTGTGCTCCGAGAGAGTGAGTGAGTGAGTGAGTGAGTGAGTGCTTGTCAAGTCCTGTTGTCACGTCTTCTGCTTTGTTGACTTTGGATTGTTTTTTGTTCGGTTCTGTTTGCCTACCCGTTAGTCTTTCGCTGTCGGTGTGTACACTAGTAGAACCTGGGCCGTCGCTGTGCCTTGTGTTGCAGAAAGCAATGCAGCGTCAATGTCACTTTGTTGGCAATTCTCTTCTTAATTAATCGAAAAAAAACTTTTGCAAGAATAGTAGCCGTTTCAGGATTGTAGAATACAGGCTTATTGCACTTTCAAGATTTGACATACCGATACGCTTTTCATTCGTGCCTCAAGCCATAATAATGCACTGACCAACCTCCGCAGGGTTCGTGGTATGTGGATGGCAGGTATGGTTTCCTCCTCCAACGTCTTAGTCATGTGGAGGTGCCAGATCTAGAGTTTGATGACTTGTCTGAGGTGTTGCCTCGGTTTGATTTGTTCAACGGTAATGGTTTCACCTTTGGTGAGGACCTTGAAGGTTTGCAAAGCTACATCCAGGCCTTGGTGGTCCAGGAAGGCGTAGATGGCAACAACTTCGATCCTAGCCTCCGCCCTAAGGCCAACTCCAACACACGACCCCAAAGGATGTCCGTTATGTCCGGATTTTGTCCGTTTGGGTTGGGCGATGGGGCGGGGTCTGACCGTTTTTCTCGATGCGTTGCCCATGCGCCGAACGCGCGGAAGCATCTTGTTCGAACGTGCAGACGCATCTTGTCCAGCCTACAGAAAGATCAAACCCCCCAAGTCTCTCGCCGACAACAAAGCCAGCGGCCGACACACTTGCCAGTCTTCAAAATGAACCCCCAAGTTTTCTCGCCGGCACCACCCGCTAGCCTTCAAAATCATGGAAATTTTTCAGATTTTTAAATATTCTTTCCAAACTCGTAAACATTTTTTATAATTGTGAAATTTTAAAAAAAAATCGCAAATATTTCCTAGAAATCATTAACAATTTTTCAATCAACGAACATTTGCTACAATTTGCAAGAATATTTTTAATTCATGATCATTTTTACGAGCATTTTTTGAGATGCATAAACAATTTTTTTTTGAATTCATGAATATTTTTTGAGTCCATGAGGTCTTTTTTAATTTGGGGACAATTTTTAAATTCGCAAACGTTTTTCTGGACAATTTTGAAAAAAATCATGAACATTCTTAGAATTAGTGCAATTTTCTTCTTATTCATGAACATTTTTAATACACAAATAGTTTTAAAATCGTGATTTTGGTATTTCAAAATCTGAACAGTTACTATAATTTGCAAGCATTTCATGACTTCTCGAACAATTTTCAATTTTATTTTTTGAATTCATGACCATTTTATGATATGTTAAACTTCTCGAACATTTGCATGTCATGAACAATTCTTGAATTTACAAACATATTTTTCCAAGTTTCTAACATTATTTGAATTCATGAAGGGTTTTTTATTCATGTACATCTTTTGTTCATCGAATTGAAAAAAGGACATCAATTTAAAAAAATGTTCATTGAATTCAAATAATGTTCATCAAATTCAAAGTTTGTTCATTAAATTCAAAAAATGATCATCAATTTTAAAAATGTTCATTGAATTCAATAAAGTTTATCAAATTCAAATTTATTCATAAATTTGATAAAAACTTTATCCAATTCAAATATTGTTCATTGAATTCAAAAATAGATCATCAATTTTAAAAATGTTCATCAAATTAAAATAATGTTTATCAACTTCAAATTTAAATTTGATAAAAAGTTCATCCAATTCAAATAACTTTCATCAAATTCAAAGTTTGTTCTTCAAATTCAAAAAATGCTCATCAATATTCAAAATGTTCATGAATTAAAAAAGTTAATCCAATTCAAAAAAATCAAGAAATTCGAAATAAATCATAAAATTCAATTTTTGTTCATGGAATATAAAAACATTCATCATAACTCGAAAAATGCTCATACAAAATTCAAAATGTTTTGATCCAAATACAAAAAATGTCACTTTTTGAAATCGTGAACGTTTTTTGAATTCTAGAATATTTTATGAACTAAATATTAGTATTATTTGAATTCAGGTATATTTTTTTGAAATTCAGAAGTCGTTTCGGAAACTCTTTGAAGGAAGTAAAATAATAGAAAAGGTAATAAAAAAGAACGAAAAACAAAAACTTGGGAGCCCCGCCTCGTACTTGGACTGGCCCAAGTTCGTGTGTGTGGGGAGCGAGGGGTGTGTCTTTGGCACCCACTGTGTGTAGCACGCGATATAGGAGCTCCCGCGTACCCCCACATTATGTGTAACTAGTAGAATTCCCGCGCATTGTCACAGGCTTCTAAATATTTTACTGAAGTTATATATAAAGATAATGCATGTTAAATTTCACAAGTAGAGACAATATAAAACGGTCGAAGGCGAAAAAAAAATATGCGAGCACATGATCGTGTTTTAACCGAGTGAGTCGCATCGTGTATTTTTCTAGACTCGAGTCCAGTTTTAATGGGCTATAAATTCTAGGCTTGTATTACTTGTTGGTCTCTCTAAAAATGATTTGTTACTTTTTCATTTTATTAAAATAACTTGTTCCTTTGTTAGGCATTCAGCTAGAAATTTATTTCACCGCTCCTTTTCTTTAAAGAAAAAAATACAAATTAATCACTCCTATCACTATCACCGTACAACACAGCCGTGGAGTACATATCTGGTGATACAACCGAACATATGCTCCCCTGATCCAGGGCCATGTGGTACGTTGAATGTAGACTAGAGGGACAGAATTGATCGGTCTCACCTCCCATTCCCAAATTGCAAAGTACACCCTTAGTCATTCTAAAATTTAGGGGCGAGGGCATATCCCTTTGCTCTGTCCCCCTTTTCTTCTATTCCACGGGTTTGCCGCCGCCGCCCGCCGGACACCATGGCGCATGCGGAATGCCTCATCCTCTCTTGTTAGACCCAATCCAGTGCAACCTATTAGGCCCTGTGCCCACGTCAAATCATTCAGTTCGATCTGATCCGAACGCTTAACGACACCATGGGAGCCAAGACGAACCTCTCCTCGTTGGGCTGGAGCTGACCACGTCGCCGGAGCCGGAGATCCTCCGCAAGACGAACAGTTAAGCGGCATCGTTTCCTTCCTTTGTCGGCATATATGGGCCATTTTTTTGTGATTTTCGTACATAGCTGGTTGTGTTTCAGAGAAATAGCAAAATTGCTCCCACGAATGTGGAAGCTTGGCAATGATGCTTTTGGTAACAAATTTGTCCGGCAACACACACTTGAAGTATTCAATTTCCTTAGCGAGTGTCAGTATCTCATGAGCCTGTTGAACAACAGAGCGCTCATCAGTCATCTTGTAGTCATAGAATTGCTCCATGACATACAACTAACTGCTAGCGTCCGAGACCCCAAACTTGGCCTCTAGCGTTGCCCACATGTCCTTGCCGTTTTCAAACGACATATACGAATGCACAATGAAATCGTCAAGAACACTCAGAAGGGCGCCCTTGAAGAGAGTATTGATCTTCTCAAAAGCTTCCTGTTGTGCAGGATTAAGATCGCCCTCGGCCTTGCTCTTAGTGGTGTCATAGTAGTACATGGTCTGAAACCAATAAATTGCTCTTGTGTGTCACCTCTTATATTGCACCCCCTTAAAGTAGGCGGCTTCAAATGCGCAGCAAAACCACTAGAAGTAAATTGCCTATAATCATGTTTTTTGATTGTTGAATATATGAGCAAATTATTATGAGATTTAATTCAAACAAACAATAAATAAATCATGATGACAAAAACAAAGATTGAACTAATCATGCGGACTATCATAGTAAATGAACAGATCGAATATAAGGCACAAACTAGAAATAGAAATTCTACCAGGATCTTAAACAAAGGAGGACATAATCACATATGGTGCAGCAGGAGCCGAACCGTTGGCATTGATGTTGTCGCTCATGTCGTTGATGAAGAGGTTGTCAAGGTCGGGGAAGAAGTCGTCGCTGCCAGTAGTCTCGTGAGTGCGCTCCCCAAAAACCTGACCGCCCCTCTCCTGTATAGGATCACGAGAGGCAGGGTTTCGGAGGCCTGTTGCCCCTTCTCACGGCGCATGATGGAAGGGGGTGGAGAAGACCTGTGTGGTGGCGCAATGTTCTAAACCGTTGCGAAACCATATGTTGTGGCGACGGCTAGGGTAGACGTTTGCCTGTTTTTTAGCGCGGGTTGGGTAGGTAGTAGGAGTAAACCCTCGTCCAAGTTGGTAGCCGTCCCATGATCCAAAAGAATCGAAAACAACTGAGTAATTAACCCATATGTTAATTATTAATTAATGACTAATTAATTTTTTTTGAACGACAA